AGCAATGTAGGTTTTGTTGGGCTTTTTTCCCACAAGAGTAGCTAAAGTTTTGGATCAGTCCCTAATTGAAAAGCTTGCTATGGTAAATTACATGTCTTAAGGAAAGAGCAAAGCAACAAGACACGAGATGTGTTATTTGGAAGCAAACCAGTACAGTACTATTCCTCAGAATGGAAAGAAAATGAATGTTTTCTTTGATCAGAAAGCTGTCATTTCCAAAGTTTAAAAAGTGCAGATACATTTTACAGGGCTTATGCTTGAAGAACAAAAATCCTGTATCTGTGTAAGCATTTGAGGGAAAAGAGATCTATGAAAGCATGACAATACCAGTTTTCTCAGAGTTCAATTGTTGCACTTCTATCATCAAAGAGCCAACACTGTGAGGGAAGGGTTGAGAAGAAATGAACCATCATGGGGAACTGTATCCTTACAGAACAAAGGTTCTGCAATTACTCCCTCTCTCACAGCAGCAATTGTTACAGTTCCTACTGGTCAGGAGCCATATATGACCTACCTTTCATTTAACAGCATCACAAGGTTTATGTTAGCCAGCTGGGAATAGGGGCTGAGTAGTGGTGTCAGGTGGGGTAGGTGCTGTTTTATATCATCTCAGAGACAACCTAGACGTGCTGTTCCCTTACTGGGATAGCTACCTGAAAAGCTGTTTCCTCTTGGATCCAAACAGAGGACAACTTCTGTCTCTTTCTTTCTCTCTGTCTGTACACATACATATATACATACATAATTTCTCTCATACGGCTTTTTCAAATGAAGAATGAATTTTTTCTCAAAACTGATGCAGAAAGAATACATTGATATAATTTGTTTGAGGTTTCCTTCTTTCACGGTGCTTTCTTAAAATTAGAACCAAAATAAATGTGTTCCTAGCCATTGCAGAATAAATTGATTAGAGCTGATTATGTGCAGTTGTGATGTACACTGAAATTTGCATGACACATCTCTCCTGGAGTGAAACTAAAAAAGGAATTTGAATCTTACCCCATACTTTTCAAAAAAATACAGTCCATTCACCATTAAATCAAATAAGTTGTGGTCAATATTTAGAACAGATGACTGTGTAGATTTAA